AACCGTTTTATTCATGCATCTTCTCCCACCTGTCAGGTGTCGCTATTGCCGTTTGTCACCTCATCTGTGGAACCCTAGCCTTTCTTGGATACCCTTGAAATAATTCCCACAGAAGGTGTCTCTGGTGGGAAAACCCCCACTGAAAATGTGGGAAGAAAGAGGGAACCACATAGAAGTGACCAGATGGGTGGACCCTGAACATCAGTGATCACGGGTGTGATAGTCTCATAGCCTCCTCATCACTGAGATTCTCCCAGAGGCCCCCTCCGCTGCTCTCTGGCACCTTGGGGTCTCTTGGCTTCTCCTTCCATCTCTGGCTTTTCCTAGCTCCCCATATCTTGCCGGGCAACTGGACTCTTCCTAATTTGACTCCCAAACTGAGCCCTAAGCCTGGTTTGTCCACCCCAGACCCAAAGCACACGTTTGGCAAACCAAGAGCCGTCTTCCTTACAAAGGCAAACTCAGAGTTGGCACAATATTTCTAATGGCACTCCCCCACAAAAGATTTTCACCTCTTTGTTAATTTACCCTTCTGTCCTCCCCCAAAGAATAAACCCAGCCTCCTTCCTAGCCTCCAATATTTTTATGTCACATAAAAGTCATTTAAAGGATGACAACTAGAGGCCTGAAGATTAGTAAATTCCCTAAGAGTCTGGAGCCCCAAGTCAGGGTGTACAAGTAGACAGGGGAAGGAAATTCGCCTTTCCTTCACCTTGGTAAAGGCAGAGAGGTACTCGAGGGTTCCTGTTTATCAGCCCTAGTTTCTTATTTGCAGGAGGGAAGAGTTCAAAGAGTCGTCACCTTCCTCCTTGAATTTCCTGTGTGTAGGCCCCTATCACCTTTTTGTGTGTTGAGTAAAATGAGCTGCAAGAGCAGATCTGCCCTGGACTCTCAGATAAGATGGAGGCCTATTGCCACTGCAGTGGTCCAAGGCAGGTTGTGGGGCTTTCCCTGGGATCCTTCAGGGACTGGGATCCTCACCTGGCGGCTCCTCCTTCCTCTGTACTCTTGCAGCAGCTGGCAGGTGGAGGAAGGGGCTACAATGGAAGTCACCTTTGCAAAGCTCCTCAGCTCAGATTCCAGGTGGGACTCCCCCACAAGGCCCTCTATAGGGAAGGGCAGGAGGCTGGCAGGAACAGCCCTGGCTGGCCAGGTAGAGCCTGGATCTTGGATGGTCACTAGCCATGGCTCTCAGACCTCTAGAGCCAATTCTCCATGTGGGGCTTAGGACAATGCAGTTGGCCTCCAGTCTTTCTCTGGAGTCCCGTCCTGCATCTTAAACCCGAGGCTTCTACTGTTGATCCCTTTAAAACTCACCAGCTGCTTTCTCTTAACTCAAACCATCTTAGCGCCTTTCTTCTCCCTGAGAAAGCCCATCTGTCGGTCCATACCTGGGCTGCCTCTCCATCGAAGCCTTGYTCTTGTTGACCCCTTCCTCACCGTGTCCTCAGTCCTCAGGTTTCTTAGGACCCAAAGCACCCTGGTTCCCCGCCCAGCCTCTCCACCCACCTCCCTCTAGAGGGGCCCCGGGACTGAGCCTCCCCAGCAGAATGGGAGCAGAGAATCTTCTAACGACCTGTAGAAAGCAGAGTCCTTCTGCGGTCTCAGGCTTTTTCCCTGGGTGCCCTCCGCTGAGAGGAAAAGGTACCCACAAAGTGCTGGGGCAGGTGCTCTGATGACCACATGGCCATACAACCCTGTTGAGAGCCACAGCTGAAGGGGCCCCAGCAAACTTCCAGCTGCCGGCTGATGATTGGCTCACAGCGGCCCAGCAACATCTAGCTGATTGGCTCCTCTGCGGTGATGCTCATTGGGCTGTTTCCCTTCCCTTTCAGACCAC